AGGACGAGTGCCACTTGACCCGACGCCAGCCGAGCGGGCACGAGGGTCACGCCGGCGCCCACAGTGACGGGGCCCTGCGAGGGCGTGGCATCCATGAGAGCCGACTCGCTCAGACGCCGGAAGGGCATCTCGCCCGACGCGCCCGAACACCGCTCCGGGAGTCCAGCCAAGGTCGTGCTCGAGTCTGCGACGGTGGTGACGACGAGGGGCGGCGCGAGAGGGGCCAAGGAGGAAGACGTGGAGGACGAAGGGGCAGGGGGCGTGAGGGTGACAACGCCCCCGCTCACGACGACGCTAGAGCTGCCGGAGGACAACCCGCTCCCCACAGGCACTCCGGAGGCCTGACCCATGAGACTCTTGGTCACGGAGTTGAGGTGAGCGATGACCTTGGTCTGGAGGTCATGAGGAACGCTGCCGCCCATGTTGGCCAAGTAGCGCGTCACCTCCACAGCGCACTGCGTGAATCCCGCCCGGTATTTGCCCTTCTCGTCGCCGCCCGCCACACGCCCACGCACGCCCGCGAGGTCGTGCCGATGAAGCGCCTGCACGTGGCGCACCGTCATCTCCAGGATGTCGGCCTTCTCGAGCTTGCTGTAGCGGGAGGGCTGCGGGGGAGAGGGAGAAGGCGGGTTAATATCAACAAGAGAAAGATAAAGCGAGAGAGGGAAGTGAATGAGATAGAGAGAGAGAGAGAAAGAGAGAGAGAGAGAGAGAGAGAGAGAGAGAGAGAGAGAGAGAGAGAGAGAGAGAGAGAGAGAGAGAGAGAAGAGAGGGAGAGGGAGATAGAGAGGAGAGAGAGGAGAGAGAAAGAGAAGGAGAGAGAGAGAGAGAGAGAGAGAGAGAGAGAGAGAGAGAGAGATGCATTTAGATGAAAGCAGCACAGACACATGCAATAAGAGCAACAACAAAAACAGCACACACATAACAACAAAAACAAAAACAACAACACACATATACAACAATTTCATCAAAACAAACACAGCAATACTGCATACACACACACTCACTGATAACAACGAAAACAACATCGAACTCACGCACACCAACAAAAACAAAAAGACAACACCGCAAATAATGACACCCAACACAAACATCAATAACATAACAACAAATAAAACAACAGCATCGCACATAAACAACAAAATCAAATACAGCACCGCACACACACAAACACACAAAACATCAACAATAACAATTACAGCAACAGCAACAATAACGATATCAATAATAACAACAACAACAATAACAACAACAACAGCAATAACAATAACAACAACAATAACAATAACAACAACAGCAATAACAATAACAACAATAACAATAATAACAATAACAATAACAACAACAATAGCAATAACAACAACAACAACAGCAATAACAATAACAACAACAATAACACTAACAGCAATAACAATAACAATAACACCAACAACAATACCAATAACAACAACAAAAACAATAATAACAACAATAACAGTAACAATAACAACAACAATATCAATATCAATAACAATAACAAAGCAATAACAACAACAATAACAATTACAACAACAATAATAACAATATCAATAAATAAACAATAACAACTATAGAAATAACAATTACAACAACAACAACAATAACAATAACAACAACAACAGCAACAACAATAACAACAATAACAACAACAACAACAACAACAATAACAATAACAACAACAACAACAACAATAACAACAGCAACAACAATAACAACAATAACAACAACAACAACAACAACAATAACAATAACAACAACAACAACAACAACAATAACAATAACAACAACAACAACAACAATAACAATAACAACAACAACAATATCAACAATAACATCACCCCCCACACACACAAGCCCAGCCATTCGCCCCTCAGACGCGCACACGCCAACAGCAACGCATAAGCCCTGGTCTACTCACATCCTTCTTGAGGGCCTCCAACACCAGCGTCTTGAGGTCGTTGAGGCAGCGGTTGATCCTCTGGCGCCGCTTCTTCTCCATCAGCGGTTTGTTGCTCTACGGACGAAGGAAGACATAAATAAGAAATAAATAAATGTACGAAGAAATAAAATAGAAAATAAATGAATAAATGGGTAAGTGGGTGATAAAGAAGTTTAGGTCATTACGAGAGATAGTGAGAATGAAGAATTAGTTGCTTGTTATTCTAGAGATGGATAGATAGATAAATAGATAAATGAATGAATGGATGAATAGTATGTTGATTAAACAATTATGTTGGATAAACAGATAAGAAGAGAGAATTAAGAATTAAAGATATATAAAGAACTGATGCAATGTTGACATACTTAATTGTGGTGATAAAGAGTTTTAAGAAAAGCACAAGATTACTTAATGATAATCACCATATATTTAGATAGTACATATATAGTCAAAGTCAAATAATAATAATAGTGACGATGGTAGTAAAAGTGGCAGTGATAACAATACAACAACGGCGACAAAATCACGATAGAATAATAATAA